GGGGGATTATCTCCAGTCCCCGCACCTTTGTATATCCCCCAGTTAGCAATCTACAACCTCAATCACAACATCAAGACTGAATCAGAACTGGAAGCCACAACTGTCTATTGTTCCAATGGCACTCACAACCCCGCTACCAATCACCCTGAAAGCAAGTGCTGGCAATTGCACACGGAGCAAAAGAAGACAAAGAAAACTAGCAAAAAGCAAGCCAAAGCAGCCGTCAATGGCAATGACACCGACAACGAATCATCAGTTCCTAGTGATGGTTGTTTCCTAGGCATATCAAAACAAGAAGCCTTCTCCGCTCACTCAAAAATGACCATGTTTTTAGACTCTAGATGCTCTGATCACATGTTTCCAAAGAAGGAGTACTTCACCGGATACAAATCAATGTCTTTGGAAATCGAGATATCCAATGGAAAATCATTGAGAGTAGAAGGATCTGGCTATGTTCAAATCAACAACGGTCATGGCTCTTCATTAAAAATCAGAGCTCTGCATGTCCCTCGAATTGTTCAGCCGTTAATCAGCTCTGGCCGTCTCTTCTGCAAAGGCTGTGTCGTGCAAAAACCAGATTTGTCCTCCGATTTGAACTCTCCCAAATTTGTAGTTGTGGATCTTCATTCCGACTCCATCATTCTCCATGGCGAAGTAGCGAACAATGTTTTTGTTCTTGACGGGTATCCGATCAGCTCTCGAGGTGAGCTTTCCTCTCAACCCAATCTGACTTGTCTTGCCAATGCTGTCAAGTCAACCTCTATTGACGCCTTGCTGTACCATAATCGTGCCGGGCACCCCAGTCAAGAAGCCTTGAAGAAAATGTTTGGCGCGAATGCTTCCACTCTTGACTGTCGCGCATGTCGCCTTTCAAAATCAACTCTTCTTCCTTTCTCTAAAACTCTTCCTGCTCCAATGTGAATTCTTGAATATATTTTCATGGATCTTAGTGGAAAAATCACTCCACCCACGATAAGCGGTGGTCTTTATTATTTTAAACTCACCGATTCATTCTCGTAATTTAATAGCATGTATATAATCAATAACAAGAGCGAAGCCTTTGAGAAATTTAAATTGTACTATTGCTCAGTCACAAATCTGCACCAAATAAATATTGTCAATGTTTTCACAGATGGAGGGGGCGAGTTCACCTCAACTGAGTTTGAGGACTTCTTCAAGCAAAACGGGATCAATCATCATCATGTCACAGCCCCATACACTCCACAGCAAAACTCTGTGGTGGAAAGAGGAAACCGCACAACAAGTGAAAAAGCCAGGTCTCTCCTGAAGGAAGCTAATCTTCCAGCGTGAAGCTGTATCGACGGCAGTGCCACCGCCAGCATAATTGGCTGGTATTGGTGTATCCCCGTTGAGCTGGGTTAAATGCACCCAATTCAAACTAGGTTGAGTTTGACCAGATGCAATATGCATCCGAGTCAAACTCGGTCAGGACCTGTGCGAGGGATCAGGCCCCCGATTCAAACTCGGGCACAGACACCTGAGCTAAACTAGGGACCCCACCCAGCCGATGAAAATGTATCATTGGCTGGGAGTAGGGCAAGTAAGCCTTGCCCGGAGTGCACCAAGGAATTAAGCCTCGGTTGATGATTCAACCAAGGTTCCATTCCAGCCACAGATGCTGGGGATGATTTCTCCGCAGCAAACTTTTGCCGCGGAAGAATATCTGTGGCAAGATGCCGCCGGGGAGGAATCCTCCGCAGCAAACTTTTGCGGCGCAGAAATCATCCCCGGAAAAACTTTGCCGCGAAGAAATCATCCCCAGAAAAATTTTGCCGCGGAGGCCTCCACAGCATCATTTTGCTGCAGAGTATCCTGCCAGGGAGAATGCGGAGGATTTCAGCCCTGCCAAAAGAATTTTTAGCGTTTTTTCTTTTTTTCTTTTTCATGTTTTACTGCATTTTATATTTTTTTTGAGTCACTCCTCAAGACTCGATCCATAATCATCCTACCCGCTCAAAAAAAAGAAAAACAGGTCACCACCTCTACTGTCAGATGTTGATTGCTTCAAGACCAAGGAGGTCCACACAGGAGATAGTCATGCTGATGCTGCTGCGCAAGGCCATTGAGTTGGTGTTTTGCAATGTTTCGCAAAGCCAAGTAACGCCCAGGTTTTTGCTGACCATTTTTGTCAACTACATGATAGACGGTACAAACGGAGCACTGACAAATATCCATTGATTTTGGGGACAATGTTTATTGCTGAATATCCATGTTCAAACGTTGAAAGGCTTGATTGAGTAGGTTTGGTTGTAAGTTGTTGTTGCAAAAGTCCGACCCAACGTTTCAGGCAGAGGTATCACAGGTCGCGCAAGTTGAGTTTCTTTTGTGAAACGTCAGGTGACGCTGTGGCGTGGAACCTCTGCAGTTTGCCCGTAGTGAGACTTGGTAGCCTAGTTGGTAAAGGCGGCACTTCTAGTATAGTGTCTTAGCTTCTAGCTAAGGTTGCTGGTTCGAAATCCTGCCCAAGTTGATCTTTCTTGCTAAATGTCTGAAAAATGCAATGTTAATTTTCACACAATTAACAGTCAACATGTGCTATGTGCATACTATGTGTTTACTTGAGATTATGCATTATGCACTTATGCAATATGCATCTATTTAGATTATGCAATATGCAATAAAAATCCAACTTATGGAATATGTGAAATGCTATTATGCAATATGCAATATCCATCTATGCAATATGCATTCTCAAGTATAGACTAGCTTTGAAATGATTGAATCCGGGGTCTCCTGTCCTCCCACTGTGGATTAAGGAGGTGTGTTGAAATCTTGTAATCCACAGTGTCTTAAAAACATATTGGCCTGTGTGATACTTAATTCTGTGAGCTTA